TAATAATAATAATGATAAAAATAATAAATAAGTGAGCTAAGATGGAGTTGTGTGAACACTGTAGAGAATGTACAAATATTTATTGACTAGCCAACAAATARGGTGAAACTGGGGTGGCAGGTATCATTTTTTTCAATGACATCTGCCCCCCTGTGCCCCCCCTCTAGAAATACCACTGCCTACAGTCACCCAAGTCTGTTTTGGGATCTTCAACACWATCAAAGCTCGTTAAYAGTAAATGACCTGAACTTGTATAGCACTTTGTTAAGTCCCCACAAACTCCGAAGTGCTTCACACGTCAATTGTTCACCCATTTACACACTGATGGTGGTAAGCTACATTGTAGCCACAGCTGCACTGCTGACAGAGGTGAGGCTGCCATGCATTGGCAGCAGTAGATTTTMTATCAAGTTGCCAGGAGAAAAGTAACAACTCCAGGCAAATAAACTAAAAAAAACTTTGCCAATCTGAAGTGTTTTTTTTTATATATATACTTGGCACAAAAAGTAAGGAAACGTGTGTTTGGTAGATAATTTCTTTGTTGTAACAATGCTTCTTGCCAATAAATCTTATACCAGCACGTGAATGGTAGCACCTGGGGGCACCAGAAGCTCAAAACAAAAGTCAATAGCAACAGCAAACCCACACACTCAGCTCTAAAGTGCATCCCACAAATGCATGTTCCTAACAAATGTGGCACCATTTAAAAGTCTTTCCAATGGTATAAGATGTACTGTCAAGAAGCATTGTTACAACAAAGAAATACCAAACACACATTTCCTCACTTTTTGTGCTGAGCATATTTAAAGCAATCATAATTTCCTTTGTTTTGTGGGTATAAACCAAGATGCCAGTTGAGTCAGGTTTCAGTGTAAACTTGTCGGTCGTAACTTGCATTGTTCTTGTTTGAACCCATTGATTAGAGCTGCAAAAAAGCTGCATGTTTGTAGATCAAYGCAATATTAGAACCACCCCTACAGAACTGTCCCACAGTTATTTCTGATTTGTCTACATATTAAACTGTTAATCAGCCCAATAGTGTTTCTCATGTCAAAAAATCCCAACCTAAGGTAAACGCTAAAGGGTGAGCAGACATTTTAAAGGGATCCCTGATTAGTTGTAMCATTAGACTTTATTTGATAAACATATTTTAACTGTAAAATAAAGACTGTAAAAATACTGTAAGCTGTTTAGTTTTGTAATTGTTTTAAAATATGTTTTAACACGGACGGAGCCATTTTATTTACACACAAAGCATTCTGGGTAAATGATGACATGGATAGGTCCTCAGTGTAAGGCTGCTATTGAGCTATATCCACCCTGAAGGTTAATCTTGGACAATATCTGATGATCGACTCTTTTAAATGAAACCAGAGAGCGTTGACAGAGAGGAGAAGGTAGAAATGACTCAGCCTGGAACTGAAAATATGGATGGAGGACAACAGGTTACTTCATGGAAGAACAACCTCAGATTAGCCTGTTAGCT